TATAGTAATTTATGATTTTTTGGTTATTCAACTGTATATATAAAACCTAAAAAAAAATTATTTCGTTTCATATCCTCCACGTGCAAAATTCTAAAAGGCTTAGCAACCGAGTACAAAGATCATAACTAGAAGAGATAATTGTTTGCTTTACTTCTTTATTTACTGTTCAATGTTTTAAGAAAAATAAGTTCTTAAACTTATTTCTAAATAGCAATAATCTATATACATATATAATGTATAATAATTGAAATGTGACTGTATTTTACAAAATACTAGTCTAATAAAACACAGCCAAGACAGGTTACTTTGTACAGACTAAAGAGCAGTTTTATGTTATTGGATACGGTAATGTGAGTGCATGTGCGCCTCATCATTGTAACTTCTGTATTGTTAGCCAGGCATGGCTGAAAGGTCAATATAATGAGAATAATAAATATATATAGATGTATAATGTTATGAGATTTAAGCTAGTTAGTCTAAACATTTATGTTTTCGTATTAATTTGTAGTCATTCTAGAATGAAAAAGGCATAATTTGTATTTATTGCCTAATTTTTTTAAGGTGGTTATGAGATTGGTCAAATTGACCAAACCTCTACAGAGATTTGTTACTGAAAATAACAGATAAGGTTTTTTCTTAAGAAACATATGATAACTATCTTTACATTATAAAAATGTTGTATGTGAAATTTGAAAAATTTCTGATGCATTAAAGTATTTTTAATCGTAAAATGAAAATTACTTTGCATGTTGGATAGGCAACATGCAAAAAAGAAAAAAAAAAGGCATGAGAAAAACATTGCTTTACAAACCTTAAGACTTGATAAAAAAAAATTGTATTTTGCTTAAGAAAGCATTGTAATGTTTACTGATAATCTGCCAAATTTTGTTAACATATGCTTGCTAATTTAAAAGTTATAGCATGAAAACTATAACAAGCACAAAATGGTTATGAGGTTGGTCCCAGGGACAGAGCCCATGCTGAAATAGTTAAGCCATGTTGTGCTTAAAATCTTAAACTAGTGGTCATAGTATTGAGTTCTTTAGTACCTTTAGTGAAAAATAATATCTTTAGAATATGAAAGAAAAACAAGAGCTACAAGTGTTGATGTTTGTACAAAACTAAGCTTGATTTATTTACTGTAACTGTATTAAGTACATGTTCATTCTGACAGAATTATGCTCTGGTAGCCTTCCTGTAATGTTGATTGGTGATATGTTTGACTGTTTGACTCTTGATAAATGTGAGGAGTTGTTTTACTTGCTTGAAGACAGAGTTGATATCTGGAAAAGGGTAGGTTCATTATTTCATCTATCAACCATAATATTAGTGCAGATTCTTTGTTATTATCCACATTACTTAATGAAAGTGATAAATGTTAAGCCCTATAAACACACATTAATATAAAAAGTAATTATAAATTTCTGTGAATGCACATTATTTAATCCAGATTGAATTTTTAAATCTTATAAACATATTAATGTGAAAGCCTGAAAACTCCCTTCTTAACTCTCTGGTGCATCAAATCAACACATGTTCTATGGTTTGTTTTATTGCATTGCAAAGAAAAACTACTGGTTGAAATAGTTTAAAACTATAAAAGAACTTTCTAAATATTATGTACCTTTGCAAGTATCATTTCTATATGTGATTTTTGTATCAATTTATAGTTTTGAAATTTCAAAAAGATTGTATTGAGATTTGTTTTTTAAAAATGTTTAACTTTATTGTAGAATTTAGTTACTGATTATTGTTTTCCTATCTTTAAACACTTTCTTATGATGTTTTTATTTTAAAAATTAAATTTTGTCTGTTTTGATATAGAAAACACTGCATGCAGTTTCACTGTGTTTATGATTATTGGCATATAATAAATATAACTTTTTACCACACCTAAATTATAAGCAAGATGACTTTCTTTGTAATTGTTAATCAGTTGGTTTTAGTATATGTAATAAGTTTTAAACCATTTTATATTATATAATTTTTTTTTTTCACATTTGTTTTTGATGAATTTTGTAGCCCATTCAAACAGTTACTTGTTTCAATAAAGCCTAACACAAACAAAACCTATTACGACTGCTTTGGCAGTGAAACAAAACTTGATAATTCAATTGAGGTATAATATGATAAAGCAAGTTTTTAAAATAAGAAAACTTCATGACTAATTGTGGCCAATGTTTTTCACATACATATTTTCTTCTGGCAACATATCATCAAGTTAAGCTTTTATCACTTTTCTGGGCTCTTTGTTGATCTCAGCTGAATTGGAAGCCATATTGGCTTATGCTGTTAAAAAAAACAACAGAAAAAGAGCCTTCCTTAGATGTTTAGACCACAGAAGCTGAGATACAGGTAATTACACCACACCATGATAGTCAAAGTTGAGAAACAGTGATTGGCTATAAATTGATAAAACTAGACTTATGTTCAAGATACAAGGTCAAATTAGTTTTATTTTGCTCAAAACTATTATTATGACTTTCCTCCTAGGGGGCTATGAGTACCATACTATGCTCAGAAAAAATTTAGTAAACTCACAACCACTAATGATTTCATTTAGAGCTCTCTGAAATGAATCAAAAAATAGAAAATTATAATTTTAAACATTTCTATGAATATCATTAAATAAAATATTTTATTGAATAAATTTCATCTCTTAGATTTCTTATTTTTTAAACCTAGTCAACCCTATATTGGAGAGATAATATTGACTCTAATTCCAAATTATGAAATATATCTTCATGAAATGTGGCAAGCTTTTAGTCAGCAGTACATATCTGTCATACACAAACAATTAGATGTGTTACTAAAGTTTTTGTACCAAAGATATGCCCCCCCTCCAGTGGCACAGCGGTATGTCTGCGGACTTAACATGCTAGAATCCGAGTTTTGATACCCGTGGTGGGCAGAACACAGATAGCCCATTGTGTAGCTTTGTGCTTAATTACAAACAAACCAAAGATATGTCTGTGAAATGCTGAACTCACTCTGACAAGTCGAAGTGCATGTTGATGAACATGTGAAGAATAATAATACCTCTGTCCATCATACGTTTTACAACTTGCATTTACATAACCTGTATGACCTCTTAAATACTTATTTGAAGTTTCTTTTTGGTATCCATATACATTGAATCTGGTATTATCTCTAACATGAATTGTTGCAAAATCAGCAATGTGTAGGGTAACATGAAATTTTGATAACTTTGACGTCAGATCCATAATACAATGTTAAATGGCACTATTTATAAGGACAAAGCATACACACTTTTACCCCACCTGTGCATATAAAACTACATGTATGGAAGAATATCTACAAACTTATTTTATTCTAATTTGTTTTAATTGAATGATGCAATTTTGCCCTTGAGATGGAATGCCTTTATTTGGGCATGATAGAGTTAATCTAGATTGTGAACATTAAATCTAGAAATCTCATGTTAAATAGTGAAATTAAAGCTTAAAAACACATTTTATTTTGTGTTAATCTGATGTATAGCTTTATGTCACTTCTTGTCTTCAACATTGAAAAAGACTATCACAGAAACCCTATCTGATATTGAACAAATTTAGCTTCTATGTTGTTTCATCTTTTTTTTCATTTTTTGCATAAATATGTTTAAATACTAAAAGTGAATGTTTCTCAAGACACTTAATATATTAAAGTTATTACTTCTGTGTGCATGGTTGAAGGGTCGTATAGCTTAAACCTATTTCTAATGTGTGATTTTGGCAGCTCTGCATCACTCATTTTTACCTTTTTTTTTGTAGGATTTATTTGTCAAAAACTGTAAAAACCAAATTCTAAGATCATGTAATGGTAAGTAAACTTTTTTCAGGTTGTATCACTTATTGAAGTTTTAATGTCAATGATTTTTTCCACCAGTATAATGCGAAGAAAATAATTTAGTTTAGTTTTTATGATAAAACATATTTGTCATTTCACTTGAACATAATATATGGACAACAAAGGACCATTTGGTCCTTCAAGGCTGTTCTCGCACGTTCATCCTTGAAAAGAGGTAATAAGCCTGTTAGAAAAATAAAAATGTCTTAAATGGAACTTAGCCTTGTTGTATTAGTGGACAGCTAAGAAATATAAATAACCATTTAATAATTTTAGCATCTTAATATATTGCACATTCGATGGAACAGACAGAAAACTGAACCACAGTAAAAATTGAACTTTATAGTTTTCCATCTTTCTAATAAATGTTCATGTAAACTACATGTAGCAGTACTTACCAATTCTTTTAATAGTTCAAGAAATTGTGTTTCAATAGAGATCATTATTTATGTCAGTGATGCTGATAGTTGTATTTCTGAAAGGTCAATAAATTTGCTACTGCTTCTAAGCCATGCAATAATGAAGGTTTGCTTGAGAATGGTTAAAGTGAGCAGTTTTATGTTCATTGAAATATAAGAACTTGCTTTGTTGGAAGAATATGAACATCACTGGAATAAAAAAAACGTTTATTATGACTATTAAAATACTTAGTCTGAAAAGAATTTATACAACTTTGGTATTGCCAAAAAAATAAACTGTATAAGAAGATCTAAGCTAATATTAAATAAGGAAATTAAAATTTATTTTGCAGATCTCCTAAGAAGGCTATCTCGTTCCCAAAACACAGTTTTTTGTGGAAGAATATTAGTGTTTTTGGCAAAATTCTTTCCCTTATCAGAACGTTCAGGTATGAAAAAGATAAACCAACATTACTATATGATATTTATAATCATTCACTTGTAGCATAGAATCAGAATGATCATTAATGTTATTTTCATTGTGAATCTAAATTGTAAGTGTAAATCTGCTAGTGCATAGAAGTTGTTAACCGAGTTTTGTAAAGCACAGTCTGTAATGTTAGTTTTTCATTTGTTTATGAACTCTAGTTGAAAGATATTGGATCGTCTTTAATAATTGTTACATATGGTTAAAATACAAGAGAACATCACTTTGAGTTTCTTTTATAGCTAAATTGGTAACCCTATAACATCTGAAAGTTTTTTCTTAAAACTGTATGCAAGAAATTATTGAGTACTAAGTGTGTGTAATTCTAAACTTATGTTTTAGAATGATTGTGTAAGTTTGTACGTTGCAGAGTAGTGTGCTTTACTTTGATATGACTGGTTAAGCCTAGGAATTCAGCTCCAAGACCTTGGGTTGTGCTTTATTTTGTTACTAATATTACCTCTGTGATAGCTGTGTAGTGGGTTAGAGTTTGAATGTGATTAGAAATAGAAATATATATTATTGTACAGATAATCTTTATTTTATCCGTATATCTCAGGTTTGAATATTGTCAGTGAATTTAACCTTGAAAACATAACAATATACAGTTCCAAGGATGATACTTCGTTAGCAGATTTTATTAATGAAAAAGATGAAATGGAGGAGGGGGAAATGGATGATACTTTGTGGTAAGAGTTGCTTATATTGATGTATTAGGTATACAATCTAGTGCAAAATTGGTAATTTGCTAAAGTTTTGCCATCTGTTGTATATTTTTAATACCACTTTTGGAGGGAGGTATTTTACACTTTCTGTCAACAACAATTTCCATGGTTTAAAAACTAACTGATACAATGTTGATTATATTTTGTTGCAAATACTGACCTCAATTACATATTTTAAATATCACTTTTAGGGGGTAACATTTTATGTTAATTTTAATATTACATTTCAGATGTGTTGGAATTTGTGATGAATTCGGTGTTCAAAACATATCAGCAGCTATGTGTTTGTTCTCAGAATTTTACATCTTCAATTATTTTGAAAGCATACATAACTTCATAAAGTGGATGAATACATCAAAAAACAAATGTATAGAATGAGTAGTTTTTGAGATCTGCTGTTTGTTTATCATAGATGAAAAATAATCTTTATTTTTATTTTTTAGTCCTGTAAGTGTTGATTACAACATTTACCGAAAGTTTTGGTCACTGCAGGAATTTTTCAGACAACCCAACTTGTGCTATAATAAAATAAACTGGAAACACTTTGCTTCAGTAAGTGGAAATTCAAGTTATTCTGGATACAATATTTTATTTACATGCAAGTTTTTCAAAAGATAGATTTAATAAATTGTAGCAATGGTCATCTGTTATTTATCATTCAAGATTTTTAATTCACTGTTAACTGCATTGTTACAAAACAAGCAAGATTTGGTGATGGTCATTTAATATGCAATGTTTATGAATATTTATGAATAAACGAATCAGTTTCTCTTGGACTGAAATAGTACTTGGAGAAAAATATTTTCTTTTGTTAAAATATTTGATGTAATTTTGTTTAGACTGAAATAATCATTTATTACAAACAAAATTACTAAAAGTTCCTTCTTTCCAAATAGATACAGTGCTGTCTGTAATTTTATTTTTTATTTTAAAAATAATCTTTGTTAGTTATTTTTTAGTTAGAAACACCATCATGATTATATAGTCATTATTAGTGTATCCAGTAAGTACAAACTTCATGTTTTTATAACCTTTGTTAGTGTATTAGGAACCCCTTAGCTAATGATTTGATAATTAGTAATATATCTAGCACTTAGAAACACTTCAGGTTTTAAGCTTTTGTAGTGTTCCATTTAGAAACACCTTACTTCATGATTTGATAATCTTTAGTTAGTGCAACTAGCAATTAAACACCTTACTTTATGTTTTGATAACCCTTACTAGTACAACTAATAATTACACACCTTACTTTGTTTTGATAACCTTTATTAGTGTAACTAATAATTACATACTTTACTTTGTTTGATAATCTTTACTAGTGCAACTAGCAATTAAACACCTTACTTTATGTTTTGATAACCCTTACTAGTACAACTAATAATTACACACTTTACTTTGTTTTGATAACCTTTATTAGTGTAACTAACAATTACATACTTTACTTTGTTTGATAATCTTTACTAGTACAACTAGCAATTAAACACTTTACTTTATGTTTTGATAACCCTTACTAGTGCAACTAGTAATTAAACACCTTACTATATTTTTTGATAACCTTTATTAGTGTAGCTAACAATTACACACTTTACTTTGTTTGATAATCTTTACAAGTACAATTAGCAATTAAACACCTTACTTTATGTTTTGGTAACCCTTACTAGTGTAACCAGCAATTAAACACCGTATAATATTTTTTATAACCTTTATTAGTGTAACTAGCCATTAAACACCTTACTTCGTGATTTGGTAATTTTTAGTAATGTATTCAGTAATTATGAACCCCTTATTTTATGGTTTAATAACCATTATTAGAATATTTAGTAATTAGAAACACCTTCACCATTTGATAACTTTTATCTGTGTATTTAATAGTCAGGAATAATTTACTTTATGATTTGATAATCTTTAGTTGGCTATTCAGCAATTTGAAACAATTTATTTCAGGATTTGGCAGTTTGAAACATTATATCTCATAATGTTTAATAGTCAGAATGACCCTATTGCAAGACTTAGTAATCTTTAGTAGTGTGTTCAACAGTTGGAACATCTATTTTTATGACTTTTGTTAGTTGTAACTACTTTATTTCAAACTTTGCAATCTTTAG